GAACTGTTGTCCGGAGTGGCTGCACCGTGTCACATTCACACTGCAGTGTGCGAGGGCCCCACTTCTCCACATACGTAGTTATACTTCTACCCTCCGCACTTTCCATTAGAGCCACGTCCTAGGGGGTGTGAAGGGCCACCTCAGGGTGACTTTCATTTGTATTTCCCAGATAGCTCACGGCGTCGAACATCTTTTCATGTGCTCATTGAATATTCATCTATTTTTGGAGGAAACTGGCTTCTCTATCCAGATTCTTTGCCCATTCATTTTGGTTATTTGTGTTTTTATTACTGAGTTGTAAGAGCTCTTTATATCGCCTAAGTCTCTCACCAGACATGCGACCTGCAAATATTTTACCCGTCCCCAGCGGACTGTGAGAACACGCAGGATGAGATCCCAGTTCCTCGCGAGGGCGGACGGAAAGACCCAGCTGATCTCCAACGTCCTCCCCCAACACTCCAAGCACCCCCCTCTCCGCCCGGCCAGCAGCGCCCACTCCCTCCCACACGCCACAGGGCTCTTCTGGCTATTCCTTGAACTGGTCAGGGTGGGCCCCGCCCCAGGGCTTCTGCGAGGGCTCGTTCCCTCTGAGTAGCTCACTCCCTGACCTTGGGACTCTGCTCGAATGCGTCACCCTCTCGGAGAGGCCTGACTGTGTGATCTGAAATACAGACCTTCGTCCTCTCACTCTCTACCCCTAATCCTGCTTTATTATCTCTTACAGTGCTTATCACAGACTGACATGATGTCATGGACTAGTTCGCCTTACCACCTCCCTCTTAGGGTCTCAGTTCCATAAAGGCCAGGAATGCTGTTTGTCCTGGGTGTTTCTGTTCCTTAAATGCCCCGACCGTGCCAGGCATATTGTGGGAAATCAACAGATATGCATTAAGTTTAAATACATCTACTATTTACTGAATGTTAACTATGAGCCAGATACTTGGCAAAGTACTTCAAATAAGGTATCTTAGAATCCCCACGATCCGCCTATGCTATGAGGAAGATACTACAACTTCTTCACTTCTCTAACGGATGAGGAAACCCAAATTAAGAGCGTTTAGGTCCCTTATGCACAGTCTCGCAGACAGGAAGCAGGAGAGCAGAGCTTCCTGAAGCCCAGGCAGCCTGGGCCGTCGCACTCCGTCTGCTCTGTGCCCGGGGGCGAGCCACTGTCCCTTGCTGAGCCTCAGGGACCTCACAGGACGTGGAGTGCCCTCCTCCTTCCTGAGTCCTGGTGGTGCATCAGCCGAGCGAGGGGAGGGGGAGCTCTGAGAACAGCGCCAGCCTGGCCACAGCGCTTGGAAGCCGGAAGCGGGAGCTGGGCCCCTGCTGGCAGTGGACGCGCTGCCACCAAAGCAGTGCTGTGGCCACTGGTACTGCTCAAACCACCCGTGTGCAGATGGCTTCCTTTTAGATAATGACTTGGCTCTTGCAGAGGGGGATCAGCCCACTGTGGCCACACGAGGGTTTACGACTTCATCACACAGGGCGCAAGCAGGGTTCTGACCACTCGCCCCGTTCTAAGGGAAGGGGGTGCCTCTACATCACGGGCCTTCTAAGGCCTCGGGTAGAGGGTCCTGGAGCTCTCTGTGAAGACGGGGTCCCAGTGGCCTGGCAGAGACAGGCATCTTGGCCTCCTCCGGGCAGCTGCTCATACGGGACGGTCACACTTGTAAATTCCTGCCCAGCCAGCCCCACACACGAGTAGCTTTGGTGACATGCGGTTTGGCAAGAAGAAACTAGATGGCACTCTCAGCGACTTGGTCCTCCCTTGACTTTCTCAGTGACCAGCTCTGGGACCCCGGGAAAAACCACCCAGCCAGGTCACCCTGTGTATGACCGAGCCAGGGAGACGGTGACCAGGATGGCAGCTCACCTGGGAGGCTCTCCTCCCTCCGCCCCAGGCCAGGGCAGCACCAGCCGAAAGCCTGCACCAGTGTTAGGAGGTGTGCTGGGCACTCAGGAGAGCCCGATTTTGTGAGGTGGAAGGACAAGGAAGTTTTCATGACAATAATTGTAACAGCAGGTGCAGCTGCCAGGCCTTCCTCCCACGGTCGGTGGCTTGCCTCCCCAGCTAGATGCCATTCATTCTCTCCCCCACCCCACTTTTGTCACCCCCCTGGACAAGGGATGTGTGGTCTTCCGCCCCTTGAACCTGGGGCTGCTCTTACCTGCTGATCAATAAAATATGGTGGAAGTGATGCTGTACGTGTCCAGCCTAGAATAAGGCTGCCCGCTTCTGCTTCTGGACCCTGGCACCCTGAGTTGCCCCGTAAGGAGAGAGGCCACGCGGAAAGCAGTGGGCTGTCAGTGGGAGCCACCTGGGGCGCCTGCCCAGGTGAGTCTGCAGGTAACCCTAGACCTGCACACGGCCAGCCGGCAGCCACATGAGAGACGTCAATGGAAAACCACCCCGCTGAGCCCACGGGCCCCGAGGACGCCCCAGATACCAGCACTCTGCTGCCTTCACCTCCTGCTGGGCACTGCACAGCAACCACTGACCCAAACACCCCCTGGGCTCAGCACAGGGGCCAGAATGAGCTTTGAAACATGCACATCAAGTCACGCCGTTCTTCCAAACACTCCAGTGGACCAGCCCCCTTCTCCATCAACGTTTGGCACATGTGTGTGTGGCCCTCTGAGATATAATTCCCGCAGCATGCCACATACAATCCATGTACTGGTGTTTAATATAATCAGAGTTGTGTAACCATCATTACAATCTATTCTAGACCATTTTCATCACCCCAAAAAGAAGTCCCTACTCATTAGTCGTCACTCCCCAGCACTCCCCTCGCCTACTCATCTACTTTCTGCCTCTAGAGATTTGCTTCACATAAATACACTCATGTGACATGAGGCCTCTGTGACTGGCTTCGCTCACTGAGCATGTTTTTAACGTCCATCTGTGTCGTACCATGTATCCACTCCCCGTTCCTTTTTGCAGCTGAATAACATCGGCTTGTAAGCCTTAACTCTGCTTTGTTTATCCACTCATCAGTGGGTGGACAGCGGGTCACTGCTACCTTTTGGCTATTAATGCATCATGTTGCTCTGAACACTCACATGCAAGTTTTTGTGTAGACACACACTTTCATTTCTCTGCGCAGATACCCAGGGGTGGAAGTGCTGGGCCATACGGTGACTCTGTGAGGACCTACCGAACTGTTGTCCGGAGTGGCTGCACCGTGTCACATTCACACTGCAGTGTGCGAGGGCCCCACTTCTCCACATACGTAGTTATACTTCTACCCTCCGCACTTTCCATTAGAGCCACGTCCTAGGGGGTGTGAAGGGCCACCTCAGGGTGACTTTCATTTGTATTTCCCAGATAGCTCACGGCGTTGAACATCTTTTCATGTGCTCATTGAATATTCACCTATTTTTGGAGGAAACTGGCTTCTGTATCCAGATTCTTTGCCCATTCATTTTGGCTATTTGTGTTTTTATTACTGAGTTGTAAGAGCTCTTTATATCGCCTAAGTCTCTCACCAGACATGCGACCTGCAAATATTTTACCCGTCCCCAGCGGACTGTGAGAACACGCAGGATGAGATCCCAGTTCCTCGCGAGGGCGGACGGAAAGACCCAGCTGATCTCCAACGTCCTCCCCCAACACTCCGAGCACCCCCCTCTCCGCCCGGCCAGCAGCGCCCACCCCCTCCCACACGCCACAGGGCTCTTCTGGCTATTCCTTGAACTGGTCAGGGTGGGCCCCGCCCCAGGGCTTCTGCGAGGGCTCGTTCCCTCTGAGTAGCTCACTCCCTGACCTTGGGACTCTGCTCGAATGCGTCACCCTCTCGGAGAGGCCTGACCGTGTGATCTGAAATACAGACCTTCGTCCTCTCACTCTCTACCCCTAATCCTGCTTTATTATCTCTTACAGTGCTTATCACAGACTGACATGATGTCATGGACTAGTTCACCTTACCACCTCCCTCTTAGGGTCTCAGTTCCATAAAGGCCAGGAATGCTGTTTGTCCTGGGTGTTTCTGTTCCTTAAATGCCCCGACCGTGCCAGGCATATTGTGGGAAATCAACAGATATGCATTAAGTTTAAATACATCTACTATTTACTGAATGTTAACTATGAGCCAGATACTTGGCAAAGTACTTCAAATAAGGTATCTTAGAATCCCCACGATCCGCCTATGCTATGAGGAAGATACTACAACTTCTTCACTTCTCTAACGGATGAGGAAACCCAAATTAAGAGCGTTTAGGTCCCTTATGCACAGTCTCGCAGACAGGAAGCAGGAGAGCAGAGCTTCCCGAAGCCCAGGCAGCCTGGGCCGTCGCACTCCGTCTGCTCTGTGCCCGGGGGCGAGCCACTGTCCCTTGCTGAGCCTCAGGGACCTCACAGGACGTGGAGGGCCCTCCACCTTCCTGAGTCCTGGTGGTGCATCAGCCGAGCGAGGGGAGGGGGAGCTCTGAGAACAGCGCCAGCCTGGCCACAGCGCTTGGAAGCCGGAAGCGGGAGCTGGGCCCCTGCTGGCAGTGGACGCGCTGCCACCAAAGCAGTGCTGTGGCCACTGGTACTGCTCAAACCACCCGTGTGCAGATGGCTTCCTTTTAGATAATGACTTGGCTCTTGCAGAGGGGGATCAGCCCACTGTGGCCACACGAGGGTTTACGACTTCATCACACAGGGCGCAAGCAGGGTTCTGACCACTCGCCCCGTTCTAAGGGAAGGGGGTGCCTCTACATCACAGGCCTTCTAAGGCCTCGGGTAGAGGGTCCTGGAGCTCTCTGTGAAGACGGGGTCCCAGTGGCCTGGCAGAGACAGGCATCTTGGCCTCCTCCGGGCAGCTGCTCATACGGGACGGTCACACTTGTAAATTCCTGCCCAGCCAGCCCCACACACGAGTAGCTGAACGTGGCATAAGCCACCCCCTCTCAGCTCCCCCAGGAAATGATGACAGCATGTGTGCAGGAAGAGGGTGCTCCTGTCCAGGCGCCGTCCCCTGGAGCACCTGGAGGACGCAGTCAGGGCCACTCACCGGTGTGGGTCTGTCTGTGAGTCTCCAGGGCATCCTCCTTCGAAAACTGGGCACCGCACTGATCACAGGCGAAAGCCTTGGCCCCCGCTGGAAGAGAGGGGAGGCCGTTACTGCGGGCATCTCATCCGGAAGCTCCCAGCCCAACCCGGGGAGGCGGCTGACAACCGCGAAGACGCCCAGTCTGTGACCCCAACCAGCAGCCCGGCCCCTCCAAGATGGGGCCGCTGCCCCCCGAGCACCAAGTGCTGCCTTCCAAGGCACTCCCAGAAGAGGGGACACAATCAGCATGACCAGGACAGAGATGGGATCCGGAGGAGACACCCGGGCTCGGGGGAAGGGATGGGAAGTATGACACAGTGAGGGGAAGCGTGCCCGCTGTCTGGACGCCTGGTGGGGAAGCGGGAGGTGCTGACATAGCTCTGCTTGGATAACCTCCGACTCAGTAGGTCCACAACGAAACTCACTGGATGGAGACCCAGCTCCTCCCTGATACCCACCAAGCGCATCCCGATGTGTGTCTTTCCTGCTGGTCCTTGTCCTCCCCCCTGGCTCCCTGCTCTCCAGCCCTTCCCCGCTGCAAGGCCTCTGTGCACCCTCTGTGCCACCTCTGCTTCTGACACTCCTGCCTCGCTGCCCAGCTCCAACCTACAGCGAGCCTCTAGCCGCTCTCTCTGCACCCGCTTCCACACCCCGCCCCGTGTCTGGGTGAGGCAGCCCTTCTCTAGGTCCCACAGCACCATCTGTCCCGGGTCATGGCCTCACCACACTCTCTTCTAAATGCCTGTGGCCCGTCTCTCTCTCCTGTCACTGTACCAGCTCCCCAAGGGAGGCAGCACACCGTCTCATGCACAGCTGCGCCTGCCTGACACCCAGTGGGAGCCTACTACCGTATGTATTTGCGGAGTAAACAAAATCAGTTCAATGCAATTCAACTGGTAAACTTTTTTAGAACCATTGTTTACAAGGCTCAAAGAGACAATGTTACAATGTCAAGGCAAACAGGACTTTGCACTATTTGCTAACAGTGTCAAAGGCTCTAATATGCTGTCTTATCCAGGGCGCACCTGTCTAAGTCTTAGTGGTTTTCCTTCAAATGATCTTCCAGATGCACCTCTTCCACTGCACTGTCCGTAACCACTGCCCCATCGTGGCCCTTGCTGGGTGGTTGGTGGAACGGTGGCCCTCTGCCAGCTGCTCTCTGATCCCCCCAACAGATGCGGTGCCCTCATGGCCACCTGGCTCCTCCTTGCTCAGGAAGCTGCAGTGGCTCGCCGTCTGCACTGATGATGCTGTGTCCCTCCACCTGGCTTCAAAGCCTCCCACTACCTGACCCAGGTACCCACCCAGCTCCATGGGGAGCTGTCTTCACCAGCGCCTGACCCTCCTGAACTCTGTGCGGGACCCACGCTGGGTCCCATCCTCTGTCTGCTGCAGCCCCATCCCACTCTCAGGACCAGAGCCCGTGGGTCCGAAGCGCCTGGCCCCTGCCCGCCCTGCCTCCCGACCTCCCACTGCCCTTCACTCCTCAACACGCCTGGCACTTCTTCTCGTGACCCCTTGGCTTGCTTTGGTATTGGTCTCATAAGAGGCATAACTACTTCTCACAGGCATTTGCAGTGGAAAATATTCTACTGCTATATTCACTCTGTGTCAGGTTTCCTGAGGCTCCCCTACATACCAGGCACGATGATTCTGGAGTTTAAGTTATGTCATTTCATTTGAGCCTAACAACCTTTAGACATATATACTATGATGGCCCATTTAATGAGATAACTCAAGCTCAGAGAGGTTAAGGAGCTTGCCCTGTGTCACACAGCAGGTAATAGTAGAGGTGGATTCAAACCCAGCAGCCTGACAAAGACTTTGCTCTTGATGCTGGTGCCCTTCAGCCTCCCTAGGGTTCTATCTCCACAGATGTTTCCTGCCTAAGAAGGTGAGGTCTGGGCTTCCTCCCCATCAATCAAAACAATGAAAATCCAATATACTCCTTTTTACACATGGTTTTGTACAAAATTCTATTTGGAAAAATGGTTCCACTACTGTTTTCAAGCCTCTGCCTTGTGGTATGAGCACATACATAAGGAAGAGAACACGGAATACAAGCTGTGCCAGTGTGGACTTAACACCCGCAAGCAGTTCCCGCCCGTGAAGCATCCTGTAGCAGGTCTGGAACGTCAGGGGCTATGAGGATGCCGACCGCGTCTATACCCCTAAGATGAGCAGGACATGCCGTCTACTAGGCACTCAGGGAACATCAGCTGAAGGAGATAAACATGGAAGAAATGAGCAATCAGGTACACCAGGAAAGATATGAAGTCACTTTTCCTGAAGAGCTTCAAAAATAAACAGTCATCTGTCCTGGGTGGCTGGGGCTGAGCTGTGCCTGGAGGCAGGGAGGGTGCCACGACCGCGTCTGGGCGTCCCTTCCAGCTGCAGGTGCTGGGGCTGTGGACCAGAAAGGGGCCAGACTGGGAAACAGGTGGATGACGCCCAGCCCCTCACAGGGAGAAACTCCCCCAAACCCACCTCACCCCCCAGCGTGACCCTGTGCAGGTCCGTAAGGAGCCTGCTGGTCACCGGGCCCTCTCTGGCCCTGCCAGCTCTCAGGCTCCCTACGGGAGAGTGGAAGGGTCCCTGCGGGAAGTGGGGATGGAAAGGGGCAGCATGGGGCGCTCTTGGTCCGGGTGCCCTGCGCCTCCCTGGGGCCCCATTGCCACAGCCCCGCACCTGGAGGGGAGCGGCTGAGGCGCAGCTTTGAGGGGATGTGGTACGGGGGATTCTTAGGAAACACCATCCATGCGGCTGCTCTGATGATCGAGAAGCAGAGAAAGGAAGGAGGGCAGGTAGGAAATAAGGGGCAGGTGTGTCTTCACACAAGTTCAGATGAAGACAGAAACAGATCAGCACGCAGGCTCTCATCAAGGCTGAGGTGGGCCGGGCGTGACCACGGCTGGTGGCCCTCGACATCCCCCCTTTCTTCCCCTGCCCTGCCCAAGTCACAAACTTGAGCTGAGGGTGTCAAAGTCCCCTGCCTCGGGGCTGCCCCACCCAGCTTGGTCAGAACCCTCATCACATGCGGACACCACTGACGGACGGACGCAGGCTCCCGTTCACAAAGCCCCGGGGCTCCCCACGCACAGTCAGACACCCCGACCCCCCTAGGGTGAATCCAACAGCGAAGACAGGCCATCACAGGACTTAGGAGCCAGCCGATGGAGGCGGGAACCCCTCCCCGAGGAGGCGTGTGCTTTAAATTGTCTCTGTAATGGCTGGCTCAGAGGCAGAAATATTTGGCAGCCCTGAAATTAAAAGTGATAAATTTCCTCACCAAGCTTTGATCAATAATAGAGGCCTCCTCTGTTAATCAATAAGACAGTCTCTGCCTGTTTACTGTGCATACGTCGTTCGCAGCTGCCTTCAGTATGATGTCAGGTTTGCATTCAAAGCAACTCAAGTGTGTATAAACCACATGGCTACTCCCAAAATGCATCACAGTGACATCATTCAGCCACTAATGCATTTATAAAGCATCAATGCGAGGGAGTGACGGGGGAAGGACGGAGGTCATGCCAGCTGAACACAATGGGTGCATATGCACACATCAGTATTTAGCCCCCACAAAATTTCCTGGGGCTCCTCTTACAGTGGGGAGAACTCCAGGGCCCAGCTCCGGACGGCCATGCCTTGAGTCCTTCCTCGCGCAGGGGATGTCTTTCGGAAGTCCGTCAGGTATATGCCAAGAGGTGGGTCATCATAAATGAACAAAAGAGACAAGGTGCACATCTTCAGGGAGCTTACATTCTAGAGGGGAAGGTGCAGCTTTAAGATTCGAGTGAACGCGACACAGGCAGTGGTAAGGTGATAAAAAGAGAAATGAGGTACGTGAGGAGGGATGGAGGGCCAGGGGCTGCTGTTTTATGTGGGGCGGTCAGGGAAACCCTCTGACAGGCTGGTGTCTGAGCAGAAAAGTGAAGGAGCTGAAGGGAAAGCCCCCGCTGCCTAAGAGCCCCTTCCGGGACCAGGACCGGGACGGAGCCTGGGGTGGCCAGCAAGGGGAGAGGGAGAGATGGCATCACGTCGGGGGATGGCCCGGAGGGAGAGAGATGAAACAGTAGAGCAGGTGGACAGCCAGCATAAAGCAGGCAGACCCCCACCTCCCTCCTCCTCAAACGACAGACCCAAGCAAGCCGAGGCTCGGGGCGGGGAGGGCTGGGTCCCAGGCCCGGCTCGGCCTCTCAGGCTGGGACCTCATGTCCTATACCTCGAGGAGCCTGCTTCCCAGTCTGGGAACTGGGACGACCACGTGCGTCTGCCTCCCATGAGGCTGCTGTGAGGATGGAAGGAGAAAACGGACCCTACCGACCGTGGACTCTGCTAACCACCAGGCACTCTGCACACATGAGAGCTCATTCATGCTGCATCTCAGGAATCAGGAGACAGTGGTTAAGAGCTGAGGATTCACTGGTGTTGGCAAAACTGGACAGCTACATGCAAGAGAATGAAACTGGATTATTGTCTAACCCCACACACAAAAGTAAACTCAAAATGGATCAAAGACCTGATTGTAAGTCATGAAACAATAAAACTCTTAGAAGAAAACATGGGCAAAAATCTCTTGGATACAAACATGAGCAACTTTTTCCTGAACGCATCTCCTCGGGCAAGGGAAACAAAAGCAAAAATGAACAAATGTCCACACTACATCATGCTAAAAAGCTTCTGTACAACAAAGGACACCAACAGCAGAACAAAAAGGCACCCTACAGTATGGGAGAATATATTTGTAAATGATGTATCCGACAGGGGTTAACATCCAAAATATATAAAGAACTCACATGCCTTAACACCCAAAAAGCAAATGACCCAATTAAAAAATGGGCAGAGAATATGAACTCACACTTCTCCAAAGAAGAAACTCAAATGGCCAACAGGCACATGAAAAGATGCTCCACATCACTAATCATCAGAGAAATGCAAATGAAAACCACAATGAGATATCACCTCACACCAGTTAGGATGGCCAACATTCAAAAGACAAACAACAACAAATGCTGTCGAGGATGCGGAGAAAGGGGAACCCTCCTACA